TGGGATGCTGAGGCAGGAGGATGGTTGCAAGTTCAAGACTAGCCTGTGAGCTCAAGGCCAGCCTGAACTGCATAGCCAGACCCTGTCTCAAAAAGCAAAAATAAATCAATTAATAAATTAAAAAACAAAGAAATCCACACAATATAATTATTGGTAGTAGAACAGTAGCTACTCCAATGTTGTTGGGTACCTAGGTTACTTTCAATTTTATATATAAATATATATTTATGTTTCCTAGAGGACTCATTTGTTATTTATGTATTTGTGTACAAATGTATTTATGTATGTATGTACATATTTATTTATTGAGACTGAGTCTAGGTAGCTACATAGATCAGGCTGGCCTTGAACTCACTGTGTAGCCCAACCCAAGATCTCTCTCTCTCTCTCTCTCTCTCTCTCTCTCTCTCTCTCTCTCTCTCTCCCCTCCCCCCCATAGGATCTCATTATGTAGTTCAGGCTGGCCTTGAACTCACAGTGGTCCTCCTGCTCAGCCTCCCACGTGCAGGAATTACATGTGTGTACCATCACACCCGTCTAATTTTCAGGGTTTCATCTACATTTAGCTTTGTTCAGATTTACTGCCAAGCTGTCTTTGCTGAAAGTTGGGTAAGTAACCAACAACATTTCTCACAGGACACAGAACCTAAAAGGGTGTTTCCTGGGGTCTGCCTGCACTCTGCAGCCTGGCATTCCTACTGCTTCTGTCACAACAGGACAGTGATTGGCTCCAGCACTGCTCATTGTGATGTGGAAGACAGACCTCCCTAGGGTTCTAGGAGCCATCAGCATCCCCGCCTCAGTTCGGGGTTTTTCTGTTTCCACTACCATGTTTAGAGCCAGAGTTCAAGTACTGTCCAGTTTAAATTACTGGACGGCCTTCCTCTAACTCAGTTCAAGGCATTTATATTGATGTTATTTTTGTTGCTTTTTGTATTAACGAAGTGGAAAAAAGCAATCTCTGTCTCCCAAAAAGGTAAAACTACTTTTTTTTTTTTTTTTTTTTTTTTTTGGTATATTGTTGCTTTAAGATTAGACTAGATAAATTACATTTAGAATAAGTGAATTATGGGAGCTTTATGAAGTATTTCATGAAGAACACATTTAAATCCAAAGTTATATATAAAATTTATTGCTCGGTAACTAGGGGTACTGAGGCAGGAGGGTGGCTGCAAGTTCGAGACCAGCTTTGGCTACAAAGTGAACTGCATAACGAGACCCTTTACCAAAAAAAAAAAAAAAAAAAAAAAAAAAAAAAAAAAAAAAAAGAAGAACTAGGGGTAAAAACAAGAGAAAAGACGGAGTTGTTTTCTTATTAAGACATCTTTTCAGTTTATTAAAAAAGAGAGGTAGTAAAATTAAATATTTTAATTGCAATTTAAATTACATATTTTTCATCACAGGGGAATGAACAGCATATTTTTCTCTCATCTCTTAATCTTTTGAATCAAAATGCTTCAAATTCTGACTACTCTCAATAGAAGCTTCTATTTATTGTATTATTTTCTCAATGACCGTTTTTTTCATGTGTGACTTCAAATAGTTTGTTATTAATGAAAAATCAAAAAAAGATTGAAGATGTGAAATGCTTCAGAGGACAGTCATTATCTTGTTCCCACTGACTCAGAGTCTAACCGAGTGCACACAGTGAATATAAAAGTTACTTTGAATTAAATCATCTTAGCCCAGAGAAGAGTGCATTCTCTTATCAAAAATGACTTCTCCCTAATTTTGGGCTTTTTTGTGGCCTGGTGTCACCTGGTCATTTGATCCTGATTGTCTGAAAGGGAACGTGGTGTGGCTCTGGTCCGGCCCAAAGCCCAAGAGAATGAGATTCAGTTGACTGCTGGTTGGGAGTCCCTACTCTCCACTTTTCTCCATGTCTGCCACCACTGCCTATCTGCGTCCCCTGTGCCGAGCTTGTGTGAACGTGGCCTCCGCGACTGCCTCCTGCGTGCCGCATCTCATCATTCAGAAGCTATTTATCTATTTTTTCCACGGCCTCCTTCGACCCCCGCCCCCTCAGGGCTGGGTGCCGGCTGACCCCCACACATTCGGGCGTATTTATTCCCGTAAAGATAGTGACACTTAGGGTTTATTCTAAGACTAAATCTGTGTTGCCAGTGACTAAGGACTTAAGCATGCACCCTGCTTCCACGCTCGCTTCCCCTCCTACCTATCTGGACTGCCCCACATTTTTCCTTCTTGCCTGCAGAAGCCCCTGTGCTGGCAGAGCTCGGCTCACACACCACTGCCAGGCCACTAATTGATTCTGAAACCTGACATTTGTTTTTTGTTTTCTCCCATCTTCCCCTAATGGTACAGCACTACTAAGCAGGAAGGAATGCAAAGAACTAGAAAGTTCAAAGTAATTGAAGATCTGTCCATTCCCACTGCCTGGCTTCAGGCCAGCGTAGAACCTGGAACATTTGAAAAATAGTTATCAAGTTTTAACCCTTTTTGTTAAGTCAAAGCAAGATTGCAGCTGTAACATTAGTGTGAAGAGCAACAGCGAGGAAGCCTAGTGGAGCATGTTCTTTATATGCTCGGAAATGCATGGCGAACATCTCAGAAAAGGATTACTTTCCAATTTCCATGCAACTGTACAGGACTGAACTGGTTATTTGCTGTGAGTGTGCAAACCTGGGTATTTCAGAGAAACCATTGCTTAAGGGTGGCAGTCTTATTTCATGAGTCTTTCTGCTAGACATGAAAGTTAAATAAATCTGTTGTATTTGAGTAAAGAGAGCAGAACAGAAGTAGATTTCTAAAAAGTATAAATGCATTAGCTATATCGGCCTAACCACAGCCAGGTTCATATCTGGATTCATTTAAGAAAAATGGAAATGTGAAAAAATTAACAAGACTATAAAAATATGTCATCATAAGCTTATCAAATAGTTGTGTGAGTCTTTTTTTTTTTTTTTTTAGTTTTGTTTTCTAACAATACACAGTTTTGTAAATGAAAGCATGTTAAAAGCTGGTGTGAAATTTAGAAGCATTTCCAGGGAAAGAAATGGATCTTATTGCAGAAAAAATTGGGGTGGAAATACAGACCACTAAAGCTGAGGTACAAAAAAAAAAAAAATACAAAAGAAAGATCAAAATATCGAACTATTTAAAAGCAAACTAACTTAAAAGCAAATTAAAATACAGATAGGTATCAAGTGGTGCTAACTCTAAGGTTTAGGTTAAAGTTGAAACAGCACAAAAATTCTATTAAGAATCTCTGTATTACACGATCAAGTGATTTTGTTAAGATTAAAAGCCTTTGAAAGATCAATTTTGTAAAAAAGTTATATTAAGTATAGAACCTATTTTTTAAGCTGCTTAATTACACAGTTGAGTTTAATGTTAGAGAAAATTGGGCTAGCTTTTTAAAGACGAAAATGGGCAGCGTGAGAGTGTTTACTTAGAAAAAAAGTTTGTAAAAATACTTATGAAATAAATAATACTTTGGTAACATGAAAGTAGTCATCAAGCGTTCTGCTGAAAGCAGTGATCACAGCTATAAAAATGAATCATGTACTAACAGGAAGAGAAGGAAAAGGAGGAAAAAAAAATCTAGTTTACGACATAATTTTACCTTTTCTAAATAAATACATCTAATCTTTTACGTGCGTATTAACTCATCCACTTGGAAAAAGAAACCCATACCTTTGACAAACGTACTCTTTGAAGGGAAATTTTGCCAAGAACTTTTAAAAAGCCGTTTCATTATGATATGGGTCCAACGCTGCTGTCCATGTACAGTGTCTAATGGTAAAGTGTGCTGTCGGCGTATGTACATACGGAGTAATATTACAGGCATTTTTATTGCAGTTTATTGTTCCGGCTTCCCAATAAGCCAGATAAAATCATGTACAAGAACATTAAGGATTAAGGAAAGTGGTTTCCTTTGGCGATTGCTGGCAAAAATTCCCCCTCCTATTATAAAAACATGGTGAATGGACAATGATATATTTGCCTATTACTTTCCTACAAATTGAGATCCCTAGTTTTCAGGGGTGCTGCGTATCTAATGTTTGCAGGCATACTTGGCTGTCTTTTCGTAGGAAAAGGTGTCACAGTACTAGGTAAATGTGCTACGTTTCTCTTCTGTAAATAGTATTAAACTCCATTTTCCCGAACATACAGTGCTAGCAAAAAATAAGTCAGAGATGTAATGTCTATTTAAATACACATTTGTGCTAGTTACTGCTTAAATTAGATTCCACACTTTGGCTAGAATCGACATGGTTTAAATATTAAAATTTTCAATCCCCCCCCCCCAAGTGGGCTGAGTGTGGAAACTTCTAGTTGTGAAATACTGAAGGGGTGGGGTGGGGGCCAGGCTTGCTTGCAAGGATTTAGAAAAATGCTTGCCAGCGAGCCTTTACCCAGGGTACACCGCATTTGCTTTGCTCTGTGGGTACCTTCGCTTTTGAAGATACATAGAGACAAGAGTCCTTTTAAATTTGTTTATCATACTGCCCACCGTTTTTGGCTGAAGACAAGTACATTTTGTATATTTAAAAATACACGCTCATTAAACCAGCCGTTAAAAACCTCAGCGCCCCCACCTAGCCAGCGCCTTCTGCGTCTCAGCTTCTGAGTTTCAGGTCCTTGCACAACACCTACGACGTGCAATACTCTTTTTCTCCCTAATCCTGGCAGGGAACAGTCCAGAGCGATCTCCCTCCGCGTCTCCACCCTCATTCCCCTCTTCCTAGATTCCATCCGCGGCTCTCCTTCCCTCCGCCCCCGGCTCCGCCAGCCCGATCTGTCAGAGAACTTGTGTACAAACTGCCCGGCCGCCCTGCGCGCGAAGCTCGTGGCCCGAGGGGCGCGGTCGGCCCGACGGGGGCGGAGCCCGGCGTGAGCTTCTTTCTCCTCATAGGCAGGCCGTTTGAGGCCTGCGGGCTTTTCGGCCTCCAGATTGGCTGTAGCGCCGTCACTCAGGCGGGTCGCCCCCGCCCCCCGGAGTTGGTGAAATAGAGGCGGGCGTCAAGTGTCAGTAGTCGCGGGGCAGGTACGCGCGCTTGCTGCTTGCTTGCAGCTCGCTCGCGGAGGTCGGCGCTGAAGAGAGCGGGCTTCGGCGAGGCGGAGAGCGCTCTGGGGCGGGGCAGGAGAAAGTGGCCGTCCCGAGCGCCTGGCACTGACGCGCGGCGGAGCGGAAGAGTTTTGCTTTTGGTCCGCGCCTTCGAAGACTGCCCGCTGCTGGTCCAGGGGTCTCCTTGGAGCCTCCCGCCTCCTCCCGCGGCCCCGCGCCAAGCTTGCCGGCCCCAGACCTCGCGGGCCAGGTGGAGAGCGCGCCCGCCCCGCGCCCGGAGCCGCGCCCCCGAGGGTCCCCATGGCCACGCGGGTGCTGAGCATGAGCGCCCGCCTGGGCCCGGCGCCC